AGTTATTCCTGACCGAATTATAGGTACACCAAATTCAATGTTTTTACTCCGTACTACAGAAATATCAGATCCCCTGCAGGTCTTGTGTTTGTTTAAACAATCTAATTTTCTAATAATTTCCTTTTAGCAACATACCTCAAGCTGTTTTTATGAAGTCACACAATGAAATCTTCCCACAACGTATTCAACAGCAGAAACATTTTCACAAGAAACAAATCATTGTCATTGCAAMAAATATAGTGCTTTTTATTTAAAATGCTTCATTTCCCACTCCTTACATCCACACATCTCGTGTTTATCTCTGACAGTAAGCACCAAATATTCTATTCGACTGATTTCTCCATAAATCCTTCAGATCCAACATTCATACCACATCATTTCCACAGGGGTAAATCAGCCGTTAAGGCACTCATTGGTTCAGTTAAATGTAGTTAACAATATGATGCTACAGAGGAAGTGCAATATCTCAAAGTTCAGACCTGTCAAAGCCACGTTTATCAAATGTGGCTCCATGACTTTATTTTCCCTGTTTCACAAATCATTTTGTATCAAACACAGACAGGTTTCAAGGACACCAGGTCCTTCCAAAAGGTCCATAACTCCCCCACTGAGATCAGTTTTTCCCTCTAGTCTCTTGTGCCTTAGTAGTAATGCACTCTTCCAATTGTCCCAGTTCCTGTCCCCAGGATATCCGGCTGTCCGTTCCTCCAGATCTCCCGGATGATCCGTTCTCTTTCCTCCAGCCGCTGTGCACGCTCCAGCTCCTCGGCTGAGGTAAAGACGTTCACACTCAGAGTCCCGTCTGACTGGCTCATATGGTTGCCTACAGGGATTTCGGTGCTGGGCAACAGAACAGGTGCCTCGACGCCGCCGTCCATCTCCTCGTCTTCATCGTCGTCGCTCTCCTCGTCCTCCTCGCTGACGTCCTTAAGGGTTTTCTTCTCAGGTGGGGAGGAAGTGATGGTGGTCCGTGGCTTACAGGAGATGCGGATGACCAGGAGGCAGAGGGTCAACACCAAGCCGAAACACACGCCAAGAACAAAATAAAGGCCGAAGCTCTCTGGATTTGCTGGGAAGGAGACAAAAAATATTGAAGATAGATAAGTTTTGTTTTTAGGATAGTGTTTTTTAACAGTATAAACATAAGCTATACGGATAGTTTAGTCATTTGTGTAGTGATGTTTTGTCAAATAGCACCAGTCACAGAGCACAGAGGAAACAAAAAAGTCCAATTGGCAGTGTTGTATAAAGTACCTCAAAATTACACTTTTGAGTAAAAGTACAAGTATCTTATCAAAAAAATACTTTGGTAAAAGTTAAAGTCTTCTCTAAAAATATTACTTGAGTAAAAGTCTTAAAGTATCTGAAATTGTTTGTACTTAAGTATCAAAAGTAAATTTCTGACACAAAATCTAAAGTATTAAAAGTAAAAGTACTGAGTAAAAGTGAGCAGTTAGATTTTCCACGGTGACATTTATTGGGAGGTGACTTCTCCAAAAAATATTTTTTCTAACAGCGTGCAGCTGTGATGGACTGTGTATAAGCTAATAGGCTGTCAGAACGGCATATATTTATATTTCTCATCCAACTACAGTTAAATTCACTCCATCCAGGAGACACACTTTATCAGGATAGTATTTTTTTTACGTAACAACAACTTGGAATAAAATAGGAGTAACAACTTTCTACTTCTTACCTTTTTAAAAAATGTAGTGAGTAGAAAGTACAGATAATTGTGTAAAAATGTAATGAGTAAAAGTAAAAAGTACGCTGAAAAATAACTACTCAAGTAAAGTATAGATAACCAAAATTTCTACTTAAGTACAGTAACAAAGTATTCGTACTTAGTTACTTCACAACTCTGCTAATTGGACGATCCATTAGCCTAGCCTGGTCAAAGATTATTGACCTTTTCTCAATATTCTGTTCTCTGTGACTTAAGTCAGTGCTAATAAGACACACTGATGACTCAACAGAATGTCACACCAGCCGTGGATATCCTGTGATATCACTTTAATTTAGGTATTACTTTGTTCTGAAGGGAGACTTACATTTTATGTGTGCAAATGCAGCAATGCTGTTGCTCAGGAGATCCATTTCTTTTTTCTTGACATCCATGGTGGTGTTGGATTAATTTTCTTCCCCACCTGAAAAATAGCCAACATATAGCCATCTTTAGCTTGTCTCTGTAATATAATTCAATCAGGCACCCATATAATACTGCTCTAGGTGTTTGAAATCTTTGAAAAAATGTTCCAGTCTCCCTCCCACAAGAGCTGCATTAGTTGCAAATGTTGAGCCCACTGATTTCTTCCTGTGCTTCCAGATGGGTGGGGTGAGGCTGACGAAAACATTTTTGCGTGTCTCTTAATGACTTCATCTTGGATCATCATAAAGCTTTTGGCAAACGGTCCTATGCCTCTGCTGTTATCTCTGAACTATGACAAAACTGTATACAAGAGGTTAAGAGTTATCATTCCACCGCTCTCACCTGTCAGGTGGGGCTTGTAGATCAGTTTATGAAAAGGCCAGCGTGTTGTGTTGTTTGGAAGTTGTGTCCCTGACATTTAACTGATCTATCCTTCCGGCATCCTTCACGTCTGGCGAGTTCTATTGTTTTTATCCATCCCTACGTGCAGTCAGGACCCCTAAAACTCCACAGGAAGTTTTTCTCCCTAGAGAGAAAGCTTTCCAAGAAGCCGTGGAACCACATGCCTCCACTGGCTTTATTTTCTATCAAAACCAGTGAAGACATATGGTTAAGGTTCATTCACCTTTAAAGGCTGTTTTTACGTTCAGTCTTTGTCTTGTTTCTCACCTGTTCTCCCTTGGCAACTTTTGTCTGCAGGAGAAAAACAAATCAGTGCTGTACTCTTTTATTTTCTTTATTAACCTTTACATTGCCTTTCCTTAGTTTGTCAAGAATTCCCACCTCCTCGACCGAATGACATAATGTTATAACATGAGTGTGGCACCGGAAGACCACTCAGCCCAGAACTCAAAAGGCCTTTAATCCTTCCAACTAATGTTGGCACCATTCCCTTTTAACATAAGCTCTGTGTTATGACTGGGGCTGTGGGAAAAAAATAATCTCTTTGTGTGAAATGATGACGAACTCTGAAACCCTCCCACTCTAACCTGCTGCTCTCTAAATCAAACCACATGTCACCACATGCCTACGCATGGATCATATGGATGTCCTCAAACAGCACAAACCAAACTCTCATAATGATTAAGGTAGCACGCGTGCTCGTTTGCTAATGGATTTTACATTTTTAGAGAAACTCGAGCACATATCCAAACATACGCAACATCCCCAAACAAACGTCGCAAAGCAGAAGTAAAAGTAAAGATGAGTGCAGAATTCGAATGGAACGTACCGCAAAATGAAACCACAATGCAGGTGTTCAGTCCCGGCTCATAATGTGAAGAGAAGCTGTGGCGTGAATTGGAAAAGGCTTCTGGCTTTACCCTTCGTAGATGAAGACCTGTGATCTTTGGTCCTCTGGCTCAACAGTTCATTTGGCCACCCTGAGACAAAACAAACACACACACACACACACACACACAGATGTCAAGCTACATTAGAGCCAAAGTCACAGAGGCATCTGAAACGCAAACAACGGCAGGCCTGTCAGAGTCCTGTAAAAGACAGGCTTTAGTGCTCTGGCTGCGCCCGCATGGAGTAAAACACAGGCTGAAGAATGAAATGGTTAACTCCTAAACTGTTTTTACTGAAAGGTACCTTCACTTGTGTTTATCAGGTATGGAACATCATTAGGTGAATGCTAATTCAGTATTTACACTATTGTTGTTCTAGTTTGAATGAATTTTTTGCTACTTTTAGCTTTTAGTCAGCCTCTTGCTACTTTTAGCAAGCCTTTCAGCTAGTCTTTCAACAGTTACTATTAGCTACCTTTATGTTTTAGCTCATTTTCAGCTCATTTWKCTCCTTTTAGCTACTGTTCTGCCTCTTTTCGATTTATCAACTCGGTTTCGGATTTTTCCGAACTCAGCGTTCACATTGAGTTTTTGCAGAAATTTTAATTTTTCTAGTTTTTTTTTAAAACTTAGCAAATCGTTTCATATTCTCTAATGATTAAATTTAATGATCACAACCGCCCTTTGTTTTTTTAACTTCACAGTGATAAAACATTGACATTGTTACATTTAAGGAGACAAAGAAATAGCAAGCTCCACAAAAACCTTTGATAAACCTGCTGAAAGTTTTAAAAATGCTGAGCTGTGTAGTTTCAGAAAAGCGAAACAACCTGTAGCTGTGTTTAGGAAACGCTCCTCTGCCAGCTGCGGTTGGTTTAAGAGAGCCTCTGTGTTTTTCTGAGCAGATTCGGATCTTGCTGACTCTTGGTCGATTTCTACAGAGCCTGACTGAGGAAGTGTTCAGGGGTTGAGTGACAGAGGAGTCACCACAGCAACAAGCTTTCCAGCCCACCCTGTCAAGCGCCCCCATCCGAGGAACACGATGACCTTTTGTTTCGGCACAACCCAGTTGGGTGGGTTATCTTCCAGGCAAGATTCCACCAATATTTTTTACATAATGACCAGATTCATCTCCTCCCTTCTGCAGAATCTAATGTAATCCATGGGGAGCTTTTTAATGATGTTTTCTGTTGTTGTCATGTTTTTCTTCTTTGAACTGGATCAAATGACGAGTCATTCTTCAGGCCATGGTCAAGTGAAAATCTTGGACACCAGCAGTCCAGCATCTGGCCTCTTCTCATACAGGAATGCAACCGAAACACCCAGAAATCTGAAACAACCAGAGACTTTGTTGAAAAACCGTCCTAACGTTTAATTATCCTGCCTTGTTGTGTTGCCGTGTTTTTGTTTTACCCAGACCAGGAAATTATTAACAGATCCACTGCCGCCCTGCCTCAGGTTTTAATATGCCGTGGCTCAACTTTCAGGCATTTTCTCCAAACGTTTACTCTGCTGTCACAGGTCCTGCACTCCTCTAAAGACTTTTGAACCGAAGCAGTCACCGTCTCAAATGGCCGTGCACCAGTGGTTTGGTGAATCAAACCGTTTTACTCAAGCAAATGTTACAATCATAAAAGTCTGGTAAATATTATGAGTTAAAATAAAAGTCCTCTGGGGAGTATGGCAGACTGACACTGCCCAGTTAATTAATTTAAGAAGTAACTAGAACTAAAACTAACAAAAAGAAAAAAGGCCTTCAAGGAAACATCCCTCAGTTTACATGCCAGAGCTTTAAACYAAGAAAATATCATGATAAAATWTTTGTAGCTCTTTTGRTCAAACTAAGGGTAACCTTGTGCATTGTGTTGTGAATGACTCTYAGCTACTTCAACATTAAGTTTGACCTCAAAATAAGTGAAACTGACTGAATTATAGCAAATTTTCTGTTGGGTATTGTCTGTTAGTTGATCATCTTGAATTGGATTCACACTAAAAGGTAATCGGTTGCAGATGTACAGTACAGCCAATGATTTGTTTCTGAAAATGCAATTAAAATCTGTCCATTTGTTCATGAGATATTTTGCTAACAGACAAATAGTGTTGTGTTTTACAGCTATTGCAAATGTTTTGGACAAAGTTTTTGCCCAGAAAGTCAAAGTCAAAGTACGTGTTGTGTATGACCGTATAATCATGCTGATTGTAGCACAGATTTTGTAAAACTGACTAAATAGTTATTATTACTGTGCACTGTAAGGTCAGATGAAAGTGGCAGCCAGTGCTGGCTCTAGCCATTTTGGTGCCCTAGGCGAGTTGAAGCGCAATCCCCCCACCCCGAACTATATCCCACCCACCCCAATTTGAACACCTAAAAACGAGTTTGACAGTGTAAGGTACTATGGTAAACTTAGATTTATTTGCTTTCCCAGAAAGCAAATAAATAACAACATACATGTCAACTTGTACAGACTGTCTATAAATTATAAGGATTTTACGTCATTTTGCAGGTATACGGACGTATAGAGCAATCTTATGGATTTTTTCAAGTCTTACGGATTTTTTCAAAACCTCATTTTCAAATTTATCTGACATGTCAGAGCCTGTAGGATGATTTAAAAAATAATAAATAACATTAAATAGCCATCTTCCAATCTGTTCTGCCAGGAAAAATAAATTTTGAACTTCTTCCGCTCTCCTTTCCTCTTCTTCGCAGCGGGCGAAGCAAGCAAGGATGACACCCCCCCCCCCCCCCAGGGACGAATTGTATGGATTTTTTGCAAGATTTATGGATTTTTGAGGCTTTTTATACAGGTAAACATCCGAAGAGGTTGACATGTATGGGACAACAAAATACAGGCTTGTTGTTATTGGGTTTGTCAACATGAACCGCTACCTGAGAGGCACTACTAAGCCCCTCCCCAGTCAGAGTGCTGGAGCAGGAYGAGTCAGTGCAGCATCAATCAAATGAGAGAGAGGGTGGGGGTGATTGCTGCATTGGGGGGGATGTTTTATGGTTTATTTTTCCTGTAATACTTCATTATAGTTTTTTAAGACAAAGCTAATTGAAAGGGGCACTACGCAGAGTTAAAACCAGGGATTACAAATAGTTACTTTTTTCTTCTGCAGTTCGGTGCCCCCTCCAACAGATGGCGCTCTAAGCAACCACCTAGTTCGCCTATGCCAAGAGCCGACTCTGGTGGCAGCCATCTTGAACTGGGTTGACTCTAAAATGTAATCACTTCTGATGAAAGATTTTGCGGAGTGAACATGAACTACAAGATGAGTCTCAGCTACCACCATACTAAATTGTAGGGAAGTGTCTAAAGAATGGAGGGTTTTATATGTCCAGTTTGTTGTGGCAGCCATATTGAACTAACAAACTGTTATTAACATTTTATAAAGTGTTTCTCATTTTATAAATTTAGATACAAATGTTGCATAAAACTTTTACTTTTAAATGAAACTAACTAAAAGTGAAACAGTCAAACACGCTGCAGCAAATTTTTCTTGTTGAACCCAGCGTTCTGTGACGTCCTCTTATTTTATTAATTTTTTTATTCTTATTTTTTCAGTCTCTGCTGGTTTTACCGTTTGCTTTTTCCGGACTTTGCATCCTCAGGTCAAACACGCAGGCATCCTCTTCCTGGATCCTTTGTACATTACAGACCAATAAATTATCCTTAAACATRTCCAGACCTGGTCTTTCCTGTGAAGGGAGAAATGCATTTTTTTGGGGGGGGGGGTGTAAAAATTAAAATATCATCCCAGTAACAAACAACGGAGTTTTATGAACTTTGTCAGTCAGCAGGTCTATTTATATAACTTACAGCAGACATTGTTGTTGTGGTCTGGGAAGAGTTCATGTACTATTTCTGGCTTTGGTTGTTTGCTGTGGTTTAGATTAAGGAGCTGAGTGGAAGAGAAAATCCAAACGTAGCGTGATATTTTTGTTGCCATCATCTTGGCGATAGGACAATCGCACTTCCTTCTCACAACGTGTGTCCCGTTCAGCTGGGACAACATCCAAGTCAAAGGTTTCCTTAAGCATCGGCCCTATTGTGTAAAATTAGTACGACACAATGACTGAACTGTCTGCTGTACACGCAAGTCATCTACCGGTAGATTATTTATCAACTGAACTTTTTACCTCTTTATTTATTTAAAACTCTGACAACCTCACTTAAGTTTGTTCCTGGTTGAAAAGAAAACCACTCAAACACTTGTTATGTACAGTATCTACACTGGCCCAACAGGGACAGACCATCAAGGCAAATGTTTGTCACTAAGCAGAAACACTTTTTTTCCTGGTTTACCAATTTCACAAACCATCCAACCGCAAGGCTCCTCTATCATGAACAAGTCACAACCCTTCAGTGGATCTCATGCATGCAGTCAAGCCACAGTTGATTTATCCACAAAACATAAAAAAGTCAAATTGCACAAGAAATCCAGTCTGCCTAAAATTCTTCGCTATGGTGCATTCTGAGCCACAGAGGGGAAGAAATATTTTTAATACTTCAGATTTCTGTGATGCTCCTACAAATGTGGTTTGCTTTGGATGAAGCTACGCAGAATAAAAATAAACAGGTTTATATTTCATCGTATGTCATTGTTGTGAGTTGAAACAAAGCGCCTCTGCAGTGAGGAAAATCACGAAGGTCTGTCATGAATTATGACAGCTGGAGGTTTACTTTTGATTATCGGCATAGATTTTTTTTTGGGGGGGGGAGGGTGTTGTTATGTATTTTCCTAGCACATATTTCAGTTCTACACCACAATCCAGTGACTGTTACCTTCAGTTGTTATGAAAATATATCAAACATAAATCTGACTTTGCATCATAATAGAAACGTTTTCCAAATTAGCCTCTGTCCCTTTAAAGGCACAGTGTGAAGGATTTGTTGTTTTCAGCAACATCTAGTGGTTGAGTGGTTGAATCATCCTCCCTGGTCCTCTCCCCACCCCCACCCCCGGCTTCCAAACGCAAAGGAGTTGCTACAGTGTCTCTCAGGTGTCAAAAACCTTTGATAATTCCAACCGCGATGTCTACCAGCAGCTTCAGGRCTAGTGATGTTTCAAGTGGTAAGATTATGAGCTTTAATAAGTAAAATTATCCCAGCTACAATGACAGACAACAAATATTACATTTATAGTATTACAACTAAAACYGTTTTTGAYGCCGCCACCGCAGTTTGTCCTTCATGAGCCTTCGTAGGCAAGATGGCGGTGCAAGATGGCAGCTGCCTGTAGTGGGGACCCATGACCATGGAGATATAAACAGCTTTTTATAAGGTAAAAATAATAAAACAAGGTCTTTGTCTGCAATAATTAGACATGTTTTTTGTTATTGTCATTAGTGATTATCTCAATTTCGGCTAAAAGAATTGCCAAAATCCTACATGCTGTGTCTTTAAGAACCTCCTACCATTTCAGACACTCCCACTTCAGCACATATTCACATATTCAGTGCTCTGTGGGGCTTGAGCTCAGCTGCAGACTGCTCATAATAACCCCCCCCACACACACACACACCACCCTTTAAAATATTTCTCCTTTGTGTTTTTCCATAGCTGAACCACCAAAATAATAGTCTGACATTCAGCATCAAACACACTAACTTTAGTTGTTTGCGCACTTTTTTCACATTCTGAAATGTGTTCCAGTGACTTAAATAAATATCCGTAATCAGCAGTCTGCTTTTTCCTTTGCTCATGAATTAAATCACACAGCATCTGACAAAATGTTAACAGCAGCCTAAAACAGCCAAAAGAACATGAAACTGTATGTGGAAATTTTCTGTTGGATGGCTTTACACAGTTATCACACACCTGTAATAAGGCCAAAGAAATGTCTTCCACTTCTGCCCACAAGAGCTGAGATTCAATTTTGTTTCTCGTTTGACTTGATAAACAGAGACAAGACACAAGTTCTCTGTTTACAGCTTCTGGGAAATCATTTATAAAGATCAGTAGGGTGAAATCAGTCCTGACGTGTTCCCTTCAGTTCCAGATAAGAGTTGGATCTGTGGAGAAAGCAACTTTCTCCATGTTCTCCATGACATCAAGATTAAGGTTTTTTTCACGTTTAAATCATTCATAAGTAGTCCATAGTGTCTCATTTTGGCACTGTCTCTTTAAATCCAAATGACGCGATTCACACCTCACTCCCTCCAGCTTCCAGAGCGGTCCTTGATAGAGGGGTTTACGATAGAGCATCAGAGAAATGTTTTATTTACGAATTAATTAAAATGTGTCAATAACAGAAGGCTTGTCCATCCAGCCTTGCATGTTGGAGCAAGAGTCAGAGGAGAATGACGAGGACCACTTTGTAAGTTCAGACCTTATTTTGGCAGTTCGGTTGCAAATTCTGTGATGTAAYGGTTCGGAAAACCTTATAGTGAAAAATATGACTCAAATAGAATCTAAAGATATGTTTGCAGCACCAGRAGAGACTAAATTCTAATTTTCTGCTCTCCTGGAGACTCCAAGTCCACAACAAAATGAATTTAACAGCTAAAACGTGGATTTTGCACTTGTCCCCTTTAAAAGCGGCATCCACGTTGTTACATTTAGAAACAGAAGATGTGTGGTTTAGATCAGGACAAGATGCAGGGCAGCTGGTTCTGTTGACCCTGTCTGATCAGGCTCAAAATGTTCTTTTGAACACAGAAATTACACAAGAAATTAGGATGAAAAAAAAAAAGGATTTGTATATCAAATAAGGTTGAAACATTTAAAACTGAAAACGGGAACAGGCCTGAAAGCAGCTCATGTATCAGGTTAAAGGTTCTGGTTTGTTTTGTTTTGTTTTCGTTCCAGACTTGTGTCATGTGTCACCAGTTTGTCACTCCATTTTCATTCTCTGTCGTGTTTTCTTCTGAAACCAAGTTATAAGAGAAATGAAGGCACAGTCATGTACAGCCACTGCTAAAACAACCTATACATAAGTTTCAGAGTTTGATTGTCTGAGTGTTGTATAAACCTCACTTTTTAAACTTTTATTTAACATCCTATTGGACTTATATAAAAGCGTGTCGGTGTCTCAGCTAGTCTGCCTGCTGGCTGTAGCATCAGTTCAGTGTTCTTGTGTACGATCAGAGAAAAAAACACAGTCTCTAGGTCCCATAACTCTCAGAGAAGCCCAAACCTGTCTGGCTCCAAGAGCTTTTTCAAATCTCAAAAACAACTAAAAGGCAGGACCTAAAAAAAGATTGTTTTATCCTTATAAGGAAGCTTTCATAATTCACTTCACAGTCTGAAATCTGCTCCTGCTTTTTACTCTYGAAAAGTTTGACACGGATCTCTGCTGCGCAGCGCTGCCAGCTGCAAATACAAAAAAAMCCCAACAAAATATGTTGAGTTTTGCCCAGCTTTTATAGTTTATTTGCTTTATTTTCTCTTCTTTTTCCWTTCAAATGGGAACTAAATTTGGATTTAATCTTGTTTTTAAGCTCTAAAAATCCCTTTTTTTAAAAGTAGACCACTCAAAATCCTTTAAAAATCATATTTTATTTGAGACTAAACTTGACTTTGTTGTTTAATGTGGTGATGCTCTGTACTCTGACACAGACTCTTTGAATACCAGCTTCTATTTCAGGGACATTTTTTTTTCTTTTTTGTCAGGAGTAAACACAGACTCAACYCAGTCAGGCATTGTTATCTGACTGCCGACTTTTCAACATTGGTTGGGGTTATGAAGTCAACACGAGTCAGAGTTCCCTCGGTGACGCCAGCTTGGCTGAAAGCAAAGAGGAGTAAAGATAAAACACTTTGTGTCGTCCAGGGTGTGCCACGGCACCGCTCGCCCTGTAAAGACCACGTTGTGTYGGCTCTGGCAGGTATTAGGAGGGTAATGGAGATGCAGGACCGAGTTGCGCGGGGGTTAAGGCAAATTGTTAATAGCTTCCAGATGTGCTCCAGATGTGAGACAGAGTCAGACCGCTCCACTGCGTAAATCTGATAGTCTGTGTTTTGTCTTGTTGCAGACACAAGCAAGAGGCTGCGAGACAAATCAAGCTCATCGCAGTCAGACGACACTTTCAGACAGCTGAGTTTGTGTAGTTGCAAGTTCAAATTGATTCGTACGAGCATTCCTCTGTGCTCACTCACTTGAAACTCTAAAAATAGAGCCACGACTTTAGTCCATTTGGCAATAATGGTAACCRTCCAGCAGCACAAAAACAACACAACATATGATTTGTAGGGTTTCTTCTGATGACTCTGTTACACACAATGCTCCACGGATCACGTGGTGCCAACTTTCAGATTTAAGAAGAGTGCAGTTAGGGCAGCTTGGATGGTTTAAAAGTTTTTGAGTTGGTGGTTTTTACTGACCTCTAACTTCAAACCCAACAGCAGTTAGTGAAACACCAACTCTGCCATCTGTTATTATGCCTGTTGGATCATTTTAACCAAAATCAAAGCACAAACCACTGGATATCTACCTTAAAAGCAAACATGATGCAATGATTTGTATTCAGGGGAGGATAAAAATATTGATTCATCAACGCATTGCAATTCATTTGTTTCCAATTCAGTACTGATTCAGAAAATCCTCTGAATTGATTTGTCATGTTAGAACCAGTACTGTTGGATTTATTGAGATATTCTCAAAAATGTTAATGTATACCATTTCATATGACAAAGAAAATAAATATCTAAAAGATATCCAGGCATTGTAATGACTTATTTGTGTTATTATTGTGAAATTGATATTGAAGCATTTAAAACAATATAGAATCAAACTGCAATACCCAACCCAAGCTCAGAGACACAATTCTCCCTGTCCTTCCACTGGACATAAAGAAAAACATTTTGTAACAGTGCAACAAAAATACAATTTCATCAATTTAAAACAAAAACAGAACAAAACAAASATAAAAAAGGGTCGATCTGGATGCTTCTGTGATAAGAGCTTAGCTTAAAAACTGATTTTAGTTTCAGTGCAGTAATGTTTTAAATCAACCCAATTTTTAATTTTCTCATTTTTTTAAATGTCAATTCATACTTAATGATAAAATCAAAACATAAACAAACAAAACCAACTTTTTGGGTTGATTTAAAGACCCTACATCCAAAGAGTATTTAGCTGAGAGACTGTAGGCCATGTGTATGTATGTTTATATATGTTGGTATGAGGAAAAAATCTGGAAATAGATCGTTATTTTTTGATCAACTATGTAACAGGTTAAAAATGCATTGATGAGTGTTTAAATAATAAACCATTTAATGGCTAATGCTGWTACCAATATAATGCAGTGTTTGGGCTTTCTATCATCATCATCATTATTATTATTTCTATTTGCATCATCAAGATCACTGAAGCCACTCTGGTCTCTCTAAGAATTCCAAAAATTCCATTAAAAGTTAAGTTAATTTTGTAGAATATTTCCTGAATCATTCAGCAATAAGAGACAATAAGAAATCAATATTACTAGTAAAAAAAAAAAAGTGTGGTGTTTGAAAGACACTGTTTGGAGGATGAGTGTTTCCAGTAGCTGCAGGTCAGAGAGATCTGCTGATCATCATCTGATCTGGTGCAACTTTCTGCTCCATTTCATCATTTTCACAGCATTTCAGCTGCTCATCACTAAATATTTCTGCATTTCTGTTGGACGTTTAGTGCGTGACTATCGTATACAGTGCAATAAAATGTGCCTGTCTAAAAAACTGCAAACATCTTAAATAGAAAAAAAWATTCACACCTATTGACACATTCTGTTGAAAAACGAAGGTGTCGTGAATTAAATTTCGAGCTTGTTAAAAATAGCGTGTACAGTATTTGTTGTGTCAGCACATGTTAGTTACTGTTAATCAAAAACAAATTACAAACAGCTTAACTACACTTTTTACATTTTTTTTTTGTAATTCTCTACCAGACTTTGRTTTTGAAAAGACTAAAACTAAGTTTCAGACTAGTTTCAGACAGGCTTTAGGAAACTTTAGGAAAACAAGTCATATCAGAATCCAGCCTCTGACCTGTGGGTAAACAAAGCGAGTTTAACGACCAGCCGGTGGACAGATTAGACATGCTGACTGATAAATGAAGCGGTGGGCTTTTGGGGTGAGGGAAACTCTGCTAACTCGAACAGCTTGAGTAGGTCACAGAGATGTCAAAGCTTCTCAGTCAGCCTCGAAGGGCTTCTTTAACCAACTTCTCCCAATCAAACATGGAGGTCTTGTCAGACTGACTGGAGCTGCAGCTGAAGTGCTGCCTGCCTGTTTAGATTGTGCAAATTAATAGGGACCCTGGAGTTCAGCCCTGCTCAGCCCCCCACCATCACCTCCTCACTCCCCTCAGTACCTATCAGTGAAGAAGTGAGCCAACTCCATACATCCAGCTGAGGTAGACAGAGATATGGGAGCTGAAGCATATGGTCTGCTGCTGTCACGAAAGAATGTTTCTATGAGCGTCAGTTGGGAAAAAAAAGAGAAGGATGAAAAGAGTGAATGAGAAATAAAGCCATATGTTGAGTGTGTACTTTTAAGCTGCTAAAAAAACATCTGATTGAATGAAAGCTGCTCTTTTTGTCACTAAACCTGCACAAGAAAGCCACGAGGACGTTGTTTCTCTTCTGTATGAAAATTTGCTGTTTTCCTTTTCCACTGGTTTGACTCCACAGTTTGGATGGGACGCTCAGCTGGCTGTTTATGATAAAACCAGTGCACGGTGACATGTTCTATAAACTTCTGTTATTATTAACTCAACTCATATTTAACCAGAAGTAAAAAAAAAAAACTAAATGTTTTTAAAAAAATCCACTTTATACTGCATGAAAGTTGTCACAACCCCAAACGATCGGCTGCCAAAATAAAGCTTCCATCATCTGCAAAGCATTCAATGTGTAACAGTGGCTACATTGTACAGTTCACAGCGGGGTTTCTATGGTAGTGCACAGATACTGAAGCAAACTGTCAAACTCACCGTGAGGGATGAGAGAAAACGTCCCGGTCAAGTTGTTCAGCCAACACACAGAAAGCTCCAGCAGGCAAACTGAAAATCTCAGACTTCTTTCCCTCCAAAACACAAACAGTCCTGCCTGTTTCACGCTCGCTGCTGTGCTCCAGTCCTGAACAACGTGTGTGTGTGTGTGTGTGTGTGTGTGTGTGTGTGTGTGTGTGTGTGTGTGTGTGTGTGTGTGTGTG